GCTCGTTCTCCGGATTTGAATCCATTAGATTTTCATTTGTGGGGACATTTAAAATCTATTGTATACGCAACATCGATTGAAAATGCTGAAATACTACGAAATAGAGCAAGGCTTTCGACAAACTCGTGAAACACCAGGAATGATAAAGAGAGTAACCAGATGAATGACAAGACGCGTGCAGGCTTGTCTTCAAATGCAAGATGGTCATTTCTCGAGCATCTTTTGTAAAAGTAATTAAAACAGAAAATTCATTATATCTCATAAACGAAGACATATATTTACATGACTTTTTTTCATTGTTTTTAGGCGTACAATCAGCTCCCGAAGTGGGTCTCACAAGTTACAAAACACCCTGTATAAACACGTATGCTTGTAATACACGTACGAAAATATTAATACATTGAACGATGGGGAATATATCAAAGATACGCGGGCGTTACCGTTTCACCTTGTACCGCACAAAGAAAAATCATGGTAGGAAATGCAGACAGTGCATGTTTTGTTATTATATATATATATCATAATTCGTTACTTGATGAATGTCAAGTATAATGGCCCGCTTCAAAAGAAACATTTAACACGCTATCTCTCGAACGAGTTGGATATCAGCAAACACATTTAGAAACGGATTTTGCCTCGAACCTTGTTGCTGCAAAATGCATAAGTGTACAACAGCAACAAATGTGAACGCACCTTTAATTTCGCTCGATGTGTTGGTAAATTCACGATCGATGCATGTATGTACATACTTTCTCTTTCTTTCTTTCTTTCTTTCAGTTTCCGCCATTAATTGATTATTCTTCTTTCTACATACAAACATATCATTAATTCTTTTTTCATTACAATATACAAAAATTTAATCTTTTATTACATTTTATCACGATAGAATCTTATAACTATTGCATTTAAAATACTAGGAAAATTATGTATATACAAATGGGAAAAATTGATCGTATTAGAAATATTGAAAGATTTGTGGTAAGTACATATGACTATATATATACATTAATTATAAGTAATTAATTGTAAATAAGTGAATTTCGTTGGATTCTATGATGATCATTGATCATGCCTGGAACAAGTGTGCACTGTAACGATATTACTTTCGAACAGAGGAGAGCAATGACCTACTGCGCGTGGTGCACGTGTGCCGAGTGGAAACCATGACTGCTGCCTCCAGACAGGGCATTGGACGCCGCGTGCGGTAGCAAGAAACGATGGCTACACTGATACACGTTTTTTTGCGTAGTAGTGCTCCTGAAAGATTGCCCTCGTAGCATGTACATAGATGATAGCAGTGACAGTAGCAGTCACATCTAACAATATTAAAACTTGTTTTAAATACTATTTTTAAATACTTTTTAAATATTTTAATTCTTTTCCGTCTTAATTCCGTCAGTTCATAAATATCTCAAACGAAACCTAAGAACGAAAACAATTTTTTCACTTAGTTTGGAAAACGTTGTAATTCTTTTACTGCCATTCAAAATAGAGTTTCAGATGTTTATCGAGTGTTTAATACTAATCAATATTTTAAAAATATTTTAGTATATTATATTAAATATTTTTTTCAATATATACATATGTATTTAATATATTTTCGTACATTTTTATATTTTTTAATATTCATTTTACATTTCTCATTGTAATTTTTTTAAATATCTAGAATAATATATATATATATATATATTTTCAAAAAGTTGCGATAATAACCATTCCCCGTTGATTTAGATTTTAGATAATGAAGATTGAATATTCTTAAACCTGACTTTGTCGCAGAATTATTATACTTCTAATATTGAACGTTATAAGTACACACACTTAATGCCACCGTTGAATTACTGAAATTATTATGGATTGCTTACTATCCGATTTCATATGACAGACAATTTCTATTATATTAAAAAAGCACTTTAATTTCTGTTATACTGAAAAGCAAGCAATTTCTATTATACTAAAAAATCATGTGTAATCATTTTATGTACATATCATCAGAATCAATATCATTTTCTGTTACAAACAGGAATAAATATGTAAAGTATCATGTAACAGTTTAATCAACGATAATTTGCAAAAGTTACGACGGATAAAATATATATATGTACATAATGTCAATTGTACAAGAGGTGAATTGTATATGTAGATGAAATTGCTGTTTCAAATTTTAGTCGCTATTTGCAAGTGCATAGTATTCTTTATTTTTTTAATACTTTGAATTGTAACTTCATGCATTAATAATATTAATTCAGTGTCCATGAAGATTCTGATACGGAGTCATTAAAAGCATAAGGCGCCATTAGTGCAATGTACAATCCTGTAGACACGTGGGTCAACACGACTTACGTGGCAGACAACACACGCAGTGTCGGGGTCGCGGTGAAATCGACAAGGATTCGGAGCATTCGAAGATAGAAGTCGAACAGCGGGTGGTGGGGTTATGGACCAAATAGAAATCTCGAGGGTGGGGAAAGGAAAGTAGTGGGGTTAGGGTCGAGGTAGCAATCGACTCTAGAGCGATCTCGTACCTTGACCAATCTTAACGCAGCTTGTTTTAAGCTATGCCAACGGCGACCTTAGAAATGTCGCGCATAAAACCAAAATGGCAAAGAAAGAAGGAAACACAACCTAGATTGTTTATTTTTTTGTTGATCAGCCATGGTTTCGCATGGTATTTTCCATGGACTGAAAAGTTGAATGGAAGATTCTATATCCATAGAATGACATCTATCATATAAGTTTAAAATCAATAGAATATTTATACAATATATCATTACATCATTAATAGAATTGTTATATCATTGAGGATAACGTCACATTTTTTGGGTTTTGTTATATACGGCAAGAATTTTAAAATGCATTACACTGTTAATTAATTTTTAATTAATAATGCCGTACGTCTTTACTTGATTTTCAGATTAGATATATGTATGTATCCTGAACATCTTAAAAACATTGATCATCATTATTTATTTTATAATATAATGCTCAAGTATTTTTTTTTATTTACCAGACAGTATAAAAAATGCAATAAAAAATGGACATTTTGTCACATTTTTTCCTTGTATTCCCCACTTACAACTACGAATGCTTATACAATCTCATATCATTATAAACACAATTAAAAATGTAGATTACATTTGTACATATAATAAGTGCCATATCTTATTTATGCATTTTTAAATTTCTCTCTAATATGTAAGAAATGTCAAGTATTTCTAACCACTAATACACTGCACTTGCACTTATAAAAATATGAAATCTTATAAACACCCGCATGTTTAGTAATGAATGCGAAATAAAAAATTTTTCCAATTTTTATGATCGAACCACTGAAATAAAAATATATCAAACATGAAATCTATTTGATTGATTTAATTAATTTATCTACTCTTAATCCTATTTATTGGAGATTCCGAACAATTTATTTAATAGGACAATATATTTCATAACATATGTATACACGTATAACATGTAGGGAAAGGAAAGGATAAGAGATCAAAAGAGGTCAAATCAGTACGAACATGTCAAGTAGAAAGTGGAAAGTATCTCTAAGGTCAGTGACCACATTTAATAATGTATAGTGCCACCGATTGCTCTGCGTACCATATTACACTTGAAGGTCGTACATATGTACGTTGCCTTGACTTTCTCTCTTCCGTATTTAAATATCTTTCTCCAAAATAACATAATTCAAAATTATATGTGAAAATTACATAATTTATGACCTATACAAATTTTGTATATAAATGAGTAATAAAATACAATTAATAAAAAAAGTTGATTTTTCTATTCTGTTAAGTACATCATATTATGCTAAGTATATTATTATCATACAATTGATGATACTGTTATAATTATTTATAATTTTTTTTTTAATTTAGAAATGAATTATATTTTTATTTTTGGTATTTAATTATATATGTACGTACGTAACTATTTATCAATCATGAATATCACTGCGTTGTTCAAATAATTACTCTTCTGCAAATCTAACAATAAATTATTTTCAATTATCATTTTATTTTATTACAAAAGATCTATTCTAATAATATTCTAATCTATATTATTATATATCCCCTGATTTTCATTAAAACATGTAGCTGTAATACGAAGATAATTGGAATATTGTAGTTTCTAATAGCTACACGTAATTCTACACGTATACGGATGTATAATAATGCAAATATCGATGTGGAAACATAGCAAGTTCAAAAATGAGTAATAACAATACATTTTTAACTAACCCTTGGGATGCATTATGCACTGCAACAACATTTGACAAGGGTAGGTAACATAACCTTAAACTCTCGCGCGTTTTTGAAATATGTTTAAAATGATCGTTCCAAATCAACTATTTTTTATTGTCATTTGCACATTACACTGTTTTAATTGATAACTTAGTAATCATTTTTGTAGAAAATTTATCGATATGGTTATTTAAATAATAAATCGTTTATTACCAGGAATAACTTGCAAAATTTAAATTATTTTAAATAATCTCTGATTGATATTTTGTCATATTGTTTTCCTTTTTTAGGTAACGATGCAAAATCCACGATATGTTTGGAGAATGAAAATAATCAGAATGATAGACAAATTGTGAGCATTGTTACAACCACTAGTAGTCTTTTAATTGAGTCACTTGTAAAGCAACTATGTATATTATTTGAAGATGATTCAGTATGCAGAAATGAATTATATTTTGGTAATACATTAAAATTTTTAATAATAACTGATTATAATAATTGCTAAATAATAATTAAACAATCATTTCCATTATTTAAAATGTTTAAATTAAAGAATTGTATTTCATTAAAAATTTTTTTTTATCAATTTTTAAATTACCTACTGTCTCCATAAACTTTTAAATAGATCATAAGATCATTTTTATGCTTATTTTTAGCTATTTGTAGTAAACTTCACGAATTGAAACTTATCGATGGTTCTTACAATGTGATGGAATTAGAATCATTAAGAAGTGAATATCAACAAGCGCTATATCATTTATTTACAGTTATACGTGGTACAATTAGTTGCAAAAATATACTTCAGATTTCTTCAAGGTAAAATTTTGCATATCCTCTGATGTACAGTTACAAAAAAATCATGTTACGTTCATTTCTTATGTATTTAGTTTATATAAATCGTCAGTGGCAGAATGGTCTAGGTATCATAGAGAATTTCAAGAAATAAGCTTTATTGCTGCTGGAGGATTTGGAAACGTTTTTAAAGCTTTACATCGTCTTGATGGTATTGAATATGCCATTAAAAAGATAAAAGTACCATCTGATCGAGTTAAAAATATAATGCAGCATCTTGAAGAAGTGAAAACTTTTGCTAAATTAAATCATACCAATATAGTTTCGTACAAAGGTGCATGGATTGAGCCAAGATTACCTTCGATTTTTATGCAGAATTTAATATCCTCGAATCATTTTCAAAGCAAATTAAATTCTATAGAATATAATGAAAGAAGTGGACACAAGTCATATGTAAATCGGACATCCAGTTCACAAAGTCAACAAAGTTCAGATACTGGAAGTAGTCGAAGTTCTAAGGAAAATGGTAAAGAGAACATGTTGCTACAACATAGTAAACAGATAAATTGTAAATCTGGTATGTGTAACTATATCAGACAATTAGTAATTAATCATAATATTATGAAGATCTAACAAATCTGAATCTGTTCCTTGTTACATAGAGGAAGAAAGTGAGGAGAAAAATAGTTCAAACAGTATATCCTTTAGAAATGACAGTAAACTTGAAAGTAATAAAACAAAAAGTAATACAAATTATACTGACGGCAGTAATTCGTATGAAGAATCTAATAAAAATAAGATAGTTCTACCATATATACTTCGAACGGTATGTGTGTATATATTTATATAAAATTATTGTACATTGATATTAATTTTTCATTTTTTTCACAATTTATATATGACATTACAGAATGAGAAATATACAACATTGTATATTCAAATGGCTCTTTGTGAGAAAACACTTCAACAGTGGCTCGACGAAAGAATGGAAATCACTCCACAAACAATTATTGCAATATTAACCCAAATTCTTCATGGTTTAGATTACATACATTCTCGTGGAATCGTGCACCATGATATAAAGGTAAAAAAAACAAAAACAAAAAAATTAACAAACAGTTTTCGCTTTATTGCCTAATACATAATACATATTTCTTACTTCACTTTAGCCCAGCAACATATTTATTTCAACATCGGAACGGCTACAAATACAGTTAGGAGATTTTGGATTAGCTTGTCTATTACGAAGTAAAAATCACCATTCTATAATAGGCACACGTATGTATGCAGCGCCAGAGCAACTACAAGGAAAGTGCGATCCCAAAGTATTATTTTCTTCTTTTGCTGAAATAAAATATTAATTTCAAAATAATTTTTTGTTTAAAATATTTTCCATTCTTTCAGAGTGATATATACAGCGTAGGAATAGTACTCCTGGAGCTATTAATACATACGAGAACTCATATGGAAAGAATCGAAATAATTAATAGTTTGAAAAGAGGACATATACCTACAACATTAGCTGCTACTCATCCTAAATGGGTATGTATTTAAAATAATATGTTGTTTTAATAAAAAACTGTTTAACGATAAAAGTAATCAATTTTTGTTAGGCGTATATAGTAAGTCAGTTGATACAAGAAGATCCCAGGAAACGACCATCAACGAATCAATTATTACAAGATTTAAACGAAGATAAAGATATGATGATAGTACGTTTGAAGAATGATATCATTGAGAAAGACGATGTAATAAAAAACTTACAAGAAAGGATATTAATATTAGAAGAACAAATCGTTAAACATAATATTTAAGACATATAAACCGTTGTATCATTAAATTAAAAAATAGAGAATTTTTAGGAATAGTACGTATTAATATTTTTTATGAAGCGAATGACAAAATGATAACGGTGGCTTATGTGTTTATAAAAATATAACAAAAAATAAAAGTTCATAGAATATGTATTTATTGGATCTATATACATATAGAATATGAATTTACTGAATTGCTATGCATTTGTTAAATATATGCAGCATACAGAATTGTCCTTTGACGAGGAAATGCGTTCGCATGTGTTTTATTTTATATTAAAGTAAAATATTTGTAATTATTTTTAATACTATCGCAATTTGATTTTTGTAAAGACAATGTAAAAATCACTGTCCACTATAATTGTTTATTGTTTCGTTTAATAAAATCGATATTTGAAAAAATTATAACGAACAATGAAAGTCAATTGAATGATATTAATTTTCTTTAAGTTGCAGATGATTGTTTTTCAACCTGTATCAAACAATTTATGACTGAAATTAGAATAGTATTCGAATTTATTCACGATTATTTATTTTATTATTTTAAGAAAAATAAAAGGATCGTTTATCTAGGAATTACTACATCTAACAAAAAAAGAACCATTAACAAAAAAAAAAAATTGCTATTGATACATGGGAAATGTCAATTATCAGTTTACATATGAAAATTTTATACATAATAATTTACATTTGATTACAATTAATTGTATATCTTTATTTAATTCTTTTATGCTTTTGTATTATAATATCTAACAGCTTTTTAAGTTCTATTGCTGCATCTATTCTACTGAGAGGTGTTTGAGGATGTACACACTGTTGTATTAAATGTTGTATATCTGGATAACTTTCAAATATATCTGCAGGCATATCATGCAGCAGACCACCAGGTAATATACTGTTATTCATATTTAATGTCAATAATATCTATAATTTAAAAGTTAAAAAGTTCCTTCATGAAGAATTCATTTTTCCATTTTATCGTAATACATTTTTTACAAATAACAAATTAACATTATGGTTTCAAATAATAAAAACTGACCTTACATATTGCGTAATAATTGTGATCGCTGACTTTATGATTACATATGTCAGTACTAGAAAATGCTAGACATTCTGGACAACTAAAATTCTCAGTATTCACTTGCAATTGATTCCATGTAGTCGATCTCTCTAAAAAAAGTGTACAAAATTCTTAAGCAATTAATCGAGATGTAAATACTTGCACCGAGCTCTATCGGTTGTTTTTAAAAAAATACCAAAACATTTTACTTTTAGAATACCTGTAGGAGTTATACTTTTATCAACAACAATGATATTCTCTAGATCCACAAATTTTATATTATCAGCTGAATCGACTGCTACATTATCAGCAGATACATCAGTTAAATAGAAACCAAAATTTTCATTTTTATAAGTAAACTTATAAGCAGCATCTAAAAGACTCGAAGCTAATTTAGCTCTACGTAACCATGGCTCATTGTAATAAGCAGTTAATGGCAATCCAACATACTCCTCAACTACAATTCGTCCACAGGCACCAAAATATTTTGATACTGGCCAACCTTCGTCTGCGGATAATATCTATAAAGAAAGATATCTTTTTTATTTTTGCTATACAAAGTCGTTCTAACATATAAAATTTTGTACTTCAATTCCTCTTACTAATACGAGTTTTCGTAAAAGTCTATATGTATGAAAAAGAGGTATAACATGAAAATTAACGCATGTAAACTAATTTATAAATTTATGTTTAAATAAACTAAATTAATCGTGTATGTACCTGAAGAATGAGAGGCTCGGGATTAAGAACTGTTAATACCCAAATGTAGACATCGAGTATTTTTCTATCGGTATCTCTCTCATTGTAATAAACATTGTTTAGAAGGGCATTTAAATGTCTAACAGTGGGGCAAAGCTTTAAACCATTAAAGTTATTTCTTATAGGACTCGTGCTAATTTCCTTTTCAACAAATTCACGGAAATTGGTATTAATTTTATAGTCTGTTCTCTTTATACTTTTTGTACAGACATCAGAAAAGGCTTCGTCCTCGCAAATCATTCGATCAAACTCGTCCAATTCGAAATTTTGTGCCAGCTTTTTTAGGACAACTCTACTTTCGTTAAAGACTCCAAAAAATACATTTTTTATTCCAAAGAAGTACGCAAACACAGAGTAAACGTCACGAAGCGCGATGTCCACTTCGTGGATATAATTACATGCAGAAATACCAAAACATACTGGACATTTATGTAACTCTATCGAATGATGTATGTTTGGTTGAAATGTAAAAATTGTGAACCACTTTAATGCTATTAAGATCGCCAGAAAAGACAGTATCTCCCATTTTTTAAATTTTAATATATTGTATATATACGATAAAAGCATATGTACAGTGGTCTCTAACAGTTTTACATCTAAAACACAATTAGTTACCAAAATGTGAGTATTAATTCATGTATTGACGCAGAATGCACTCGATACAATAATGGCAAAAAAAAAGGCAGTGTGCAAGCTTTGAAAAAGAGAAATATACATAACAAACCAAGCCAACAACTTTATTCTAGTTTTCAATAGAAAAATCGTGCAAAGCTACTTAATTTCATCTTTTTTGCGAAATTTTTTTCTCTATATTTTATCACTTTAGAACCGTAACCCGACACAAATATTGAATAAATATTACATGTTATGATATAATAATTTGTACAGACAATTAGTAAACTTGTGTTTACGTTGTATTATTTCACAGATTGTATAAAATACGAGAAGAAAGCTGAGAGCAATTGTAGAAGTTAACAAATAATTCCCTCAAATCAGTTTCCTTTGCAATTGAAAATTTGCCTAATTTATGGGCATGTAGCGACCTCTACTTCGAAGAATTTAGATCAACGACATCTATGTTCCGTCGAGATGTATATTTAATATAAACAATAGAGTATTTAAAAATAGCTATTAATTTTATTATCACCATGGAAATGTTTACTGCCACTTATATATATTGTAGCCATAGTAGAAAATCTTCATTCGTTATTTCGTTATTTAACTTTCATTTATAGAAATTATTCGTCATTTAAATTCTATTATGTAATCTTCATTAAATTATTAGTAATTGTATATTTTGTGATACTGATATTTTTATATAAACAACTAAAATTAATTACGGAGTTATTATTTATTTATAGTATTGTGATATAAATATAAATTATCA